ACAGCTGGGCGGAGCGGCCTCCAAGGGGACCCGTGTCAGCGGTGGGCCCGCAGCAGTTGTTCCCGACATGCTTCTCTAGAGAAGGATTTCAAACCCTGGCTACAACCACCACCCTCCGTTTCCTCAGCCACCCCAGCAACAGGCGGTGGCTTGCGTTTCATTGGTCGGGCCCCGCATCGGCACATTTTGATTGGCCACCGTGCCTCCCGGCCCCGCTCCGGCGCTTGCCGCTGCCTCCATTTTGTCCGTAGAGGCAGGAGGAGGAAGTCGTCGGGACGCAGAGGTGGTGGCATCTAGGTCATCGGCGCTTGTGGGCTTTGTTCTTTCCGTGCCTCGTCTCTCCCTGGAAGGGGAGGGGGCTTCGTTGCTGAGCAGGAGCCGCAGCTGCAGTCTGCACTTGAAGTCGGTGAGTGGCAGCGGCTCCGCGGGTACGGCCATGTTGGCTGCCGTGCTCCCCATTGTTGGGGGCAGGCGAGATCCGGGAACCCGGCGGGGCATGGGCGGCCGGGAGGACCGGGTCCCAGCTGGGGTCGAGACAGACGGACCCGCTCGGAAGCCCCATCGGAAGAAGCGAACTTCCCTGGGCTCACCGGCGTTGTGAACAACTCGAGTTCCGGAAACTCGTAGGGCTGTTAAAATAGCCTGGAAGGCCCTATTACCCTTTAGAAAATAAAAGGGCTTACCGATAACCTGGTTTCTTGGAATAGCAGGTGAAAATGGGTTCTTGAATGTTAAACAGTCACTGTAGGGAGGCATTTTTATGTGCCTAAGATGGGAACTGCCTTGGCTTGTTAATGGCGTGTAAAAACTTATTTTAAAACCGGGAGGAGTTAAGTGTACGTAACGAAAGAAAACACTGCACGATGTAAACATGTTGGGAATACAGGCTTTGTGAAAACGGATGTATTGAAAGATTGGAAAGTTCTCTTGGAACTTTAAAGGTACGGTCTCCTTGGAAAACGAATTTTAAGCCAATTTCTTGTTATGGCCGCAAAGGCTAATGCTTCCTTATTTTGACTCAACATTGTAGTCACAAAAACCGTGCGAGAACCTGAAAAGTCCGCAGGAGAAGGATGCGAACAACTTGTTGCTGAGACTTGCAAACATCCCCCTCCCAACCCCAAATTTCCCAGGAACGAGTTCCTGGATCTCAAGGTCAAGAGTTCTTAAATGATGACAGGTTAAAAAAAAAAAAGGCCGCCTTCAGATTTTCTGCCTTTTAGTTCAAGAGCTAGTCATTCTTTAATTTATTTCTGTAGTAAGTATAAACGGTCGCTTTTTCTCCTGTGTTTTTTATTTGAATTAATCAAGTAATCTTTACTTTCCTAGCTAGGACTTCTCTGAAACTTGTGTGCTGAGGAGACTCAGATGTTGGCCTCGGCTCCTAAGCTGGATTTAGCAGATTGGCCCATGAAAACTTCTGTTTTGAGACAAAGGAAAGGATCTGTCAGAAAGCAACATCTATTATCCTGGGCTTGGCAACAAGGAAGAAGACAGGGAGTGGGAATCCTGCAATCTGAAAAGCAGACCGAAAGGTACAAAAAAACTCAACGTTGTCATTTTTATAATGCAAACATATTATGGTGGATTCACTCTAAATTGTTAGGACTTTGCAGATTTGTGGGTAAGCTCATTTTTCTTAGATAATAAAAACTGCATTATAATGAAGTGCGAACATACAATGAAGTTAAAGTAGCCGAACAGTACATTTTTTTGAGTCTTCCCTAAGATTTCTGTAATTACCATAAAGCTTTGAATTTAAATTGGAAGTTTACTCAATATTTTGTTTCCACTCACAGGTGACAAAGAAGCTGAAGATGGGTGGTGGAGAGAGGTATAACATTCCAGCCCCTCAATCTAGAAATGTTAGTAAGAACCCACAACAACTTAATAGACAGAAGACCAAGGATCAAAATTCCCAGATGAAGATTGTTCATAAGAAAAAAGAAAGAGGACATACTTTTAACACATCAGCAGCTGCATGGCAGGCCATGCAGAATGGGGGGAAGAACAAAAATTTCCCAAATAATCAAAATTGGAACTCTGGCTTATCAAGTCCCAGCTTACTTTTTAAGTCGCAAACTAACCAGAACTATGCTGGAGCCAAATTCAGTGAGCCGCCGTCACCAAGCGTTCTTCCTAAACCACCAAGCCACTGGGTTCCTGTCTCCTTCAACCCTTCCGATAAGGAAATAATGACATTTCAACTTAAAACCTTGCTTAAAGTCCAGGTATAAAGTTCTAATGTTTAAATTTAGTCATAATTAAGGGTAGGTGTCAACTATTTAATACCAAACTCACTAGGGTATTAATGTCTAAAACTGCTAATATAGAAAAGATAATTAGACTTCATCTGGTTTTGTGTTGTGCACTGTGATATGTAATGGTATCAGTGCCACTTAAAATAACTAAATTACTGACAACTACTTTTTATCAAGTATTCTCAATTGAGTAACTCCTATGTGAAACCATTCAAAGTTTAGATTTGGGAAATGGTAAGGAATCAACTTTTTCTGTTGCTTGTTGGGGTAAAATACTGATTTAAGACTATCAAGACAGATTTGCTTGTTGAAAGCTAGTGAATCTGATTATAAGCATCTTGTTAGGACAGGAAATGAGAATTAAGTTGAGTATTGAAAGTTCTGTATCCTAGAGACACCTACACCAGTAATATGCCAACAGTCTGATGTGCTGTCCAAAGAGCATGTGAACTTTCTTTATGGAATACTTGCAGTTTAGCGATCTGATTGGTTGTGAATGTGGAAGGGGCACTAGGAGCAATTCAGAATGAAGTGTTTCTCATGTGCAGTGGATAGATGACTGCAAAAAAAAGTGCCAAAACCATTTTTATAGAATCATTTGGTGGTCAGAGTAGCTTTCAAAATGCATTTTTTAAAAAAAGCACTGCACAAGCTATTCTGTGATCTGGCTTCACATCATCCCTGCAAAGCTTGCTTAAAATAGGGAGCTATATAATGTGAAAGTTTTTAGTACGTAGGAAAAAGCCATGTAAATATATGTAATAAACTTGTAGCATATGTAAAGTTTTGGCATTTATCCTACAAAAATAAAGAGTATTTTAGTATAAATTTGTTGAATGTAAGACCATAGACTCTTTTTATGCCTATGGCCTAATTTTAAAGGTCCAGAATAATTTGTTTTTAAAGTCTGCCCTTGTGCTAAAGTGCCAGTGTATGTATGTTAAAATTTTATCTGGTTGTAAACTATATTTCAAAATAAATACTAGTGTAGTAACTTTTATATAACTGAAAAGGTTTTAAAGCTGCTAAAACACTTCCTATTTTTAAGAGATGTGAAATGCAGTATGGGACTATTTTAATTTTTACTTCTTAAATCCAAAGATTAACTATGAAAGGGTCCATCCAACCTTAAGAATTCATACTGGCTTTGAACAATTTTTGTAACTTATAATACAAACATAGTTTAATGCCAGTGGGTTTTTTGGTCATCAGTAAGTGCAGCCAGGGGCCACTTACTCAAAAGATGTGATTGCTGGCATAATACCTTGATAACATGTTTTACCCACCTTTATAAATGCTAAGTATAACATTAACCCAGTAGATTAAAAATGTGGGAATTAAAAATTTGATGGCAAGTGCCGTTTTCTAATTTGGTGGCTTTATGAATATTTTAAAGCAGAATGGCCAATCTGTATTTTCCCAAATAAATTCAGGTGAAGTAATATTGCCCAAGTCAAACAATTACATCCGAAGATAAGTTTATGTAGTACTTAATGTGCACATATGAATTTGAACCGTGAAATTAAAATAAAACTTTTCCCCCCCAGTGGCTTGTTTATTTTGTAAAAAATGCTGACTTAATACTTGTTCTTAGAACTTACATAATTAACCCAACTGAATGATTTAAGATTGCTTTTAAGAATCAACCAATTTGCTGATATATTTGGATTAGTTCAGCAGCTATCCAAGAAAGCAACTACACGTGACTCTCCAATCAAGACTTAACAAAAGGCTGTCAAGTTTCTCATTTGTTGTTGAGTAAAGCAGGGTTTAATTGATCTCCCCCTGTTCTACATTCTAAGATTATTTAAGTTTACGGGGGGGGGGGGGGGGAGAAGCACCCAGCACAAAAAGATTCCCTCAAATTAACAAGAACCTAGAACCTTTATATTTGTTGATAATTCTGTAAGTTCTGCCCTAGCAGGGCAAGGCTGTATTTTCTCATACAAACTAGGAAACAACTGGTTTGGAGAAAGTAAATCTTCCCTGTTTTATCCCCAGTGCCATTTCTATGGAAAATGCCAATTGCCAAGCTTCTTACTATACTGCACTAAAGTTGCACGACATTGAACAATTCTCAGCCCAAGTGTCTTTGTTAGTAGTGTAAGATTTTTGGTTTATGATGGACTGAAACTAAGTTCAGAGGTTTGAGGGTGGGAGTAGAAAACCTTTCACCTTGAGAATTAACAGCTAAAGGTAACCCAAATACAGGGTCAATAACATTTCATACCTTAAAAAGGTAGTTATAATTAGCCTACAGGTGACAAGTACTTCCCAAATCATTGCATGTGCACAAACCTATCCTGCAGGGCAGAAGGCCCCCAGTGTGAGCTCTTGGTCAGTGTTCAAAATGTAAATTTGACCTATCTTTGATGGCAGAGTGTAATCATGGCATCCAAGTCTATAACCTATCTCACATTTAAGTTCTCATCTTCACAAAAGTACAAAATGGAAAGAAATTAAAGGGTTTTCAGTAGGTTTTCTAATATTTAATTGCTTTCTCATATGCCATTTGTAAAACAAGAGGGACAGTGTTTAACCTTAAATGAAAGCCTACCTATCCAGTCACAAGTCTGTAAGGCAGAGCTAAACCTTAAAAAAGAAAAAAAGCCCAAGATTTTTGGCTCCTAGAGTTTTCTTTTTATTTTGCTCTCCAGCATTCAAAGAGATGTGATCTACAAAAAAACTAGACACAAAGGCCTTTTACTTAACAAACTACTCTGTCAATTATCAATGAAATGAATTTACATGCCTTGCTTTTATTCCATACCAAAAAAAAAAAAAATCCCATCTTTAATATAAGGCTCAAACAACTGTTAGGAATACAAAAACGTAACACACTAAACATTAACAATATTGGAGGGGGCAGAGGATAAAAAACCCAAGGTAAAGAATCTTAAGCAACTGGCTGTCTTGTAGACGTCAATAGTTGAATGCAGACAAATAGGTTGCTCTATATATTGTACTTGTTTACCATCAAGAACAGTTTACTCCTGGGGACTCCTAGAAGCTTTGCTAGACCTCTCGGTAGCATGCCATTAGGTTATTCCTCAGCTCCCACTCCACTGTCTCAGGTCACAGCTTCCCCATTTCAAAGTATCTCAGGATTTTGTAAACAGGAATATGACCAAAGAGTAATACTTGGAGTACCAGCCTGGAAAGTGGTAAGTTACAACTGTGAAATCTTGGGTCACATTTAATCTCTCTGCATCTAGAAAAGTTACAAAATACTTTCTGTAATTAATCCTTCTTATAAACCTATTATATCTTCCCTCTAAGTGAACCCCAGATTCCATTAAATTAGAAGAAAATTTCCCAATTAACTAAAAAATAGTGCAGAACACTGACAAAAATGAACCAAATGAAAAATCATGGACTCTAAGTATCTGCCACTTATTTCCTGTATAATCTTCCAAGTTTGAAATTAATAAGGGTAAAGATAACCTCCATTTTATACCTCCCTTATGTGTATTGTTTTCAAAATCTTTAAAAGTTTAAACACTTTCATATTCTTAGATGAATAACTATGAATTTTAAATATGTGGCAGAATTAAGACAAAAATGATAGAATCAATATATATATAGGCAAATAAGCTTCATATCCTAATAAGGAACTAAGGAATCCAAAACATTTTGTGATACTATAAAAGTTATTTATTCACTATACACAGAACATGTCCCCTATAAAATGTACATGTCAATCACTAAAAAGTATAACTTGGTGAACATTTTCTCAATTACAGAACATACTAATAAGTCAGTTGGGATAACAGCTCTCTGTCTGCCTCAAAATAATCTAATTATAGCACCCAGTGTTCTTCATATCTAATGCAAAATGAAATACTTTCAGGGGTTTTTCTCCTACTAATGTGTTTGAGGAAGCAGAGTTAACAATTTATATAATTCTAGTATATTACAGTCACTGCACAATAAATCAGTTTATTACAGATTAAACATCATTTTCTCATTATTTGTATTAATGGGATGCAAACAGAAATAAATACCAGATACTTTTAAATGGCAGGTAACCACAAAAATTACTTATCTTTGATAGTATATTGGGCTTTATAATTACATTGGATATGAATGGTGCAAAATATTGTCACAAACAATACACCTCAAACAAAACAATGAGGCAATACTGTAATGTTATTCACTAGATTGTGCTCAGTAGACATTTATTGAATAAGTGAATTTTTAATCTATTTCCCCCCAATTACCCAGTACAATTTTTGCTCACAGTAAGGGCTCAGTAAATGTTTGCTGAATATACTGACTAAGAAAGAGGTGAGAAGAGATGGAACCTCTTAGCTGGATGTCAAGTATCATAATTGGAATTTACCTGGGATTGAGTGTGGAAGGAAGCTGTAAACCGCACATGGCATACAGGTAAATAAACTCAGATACCAACAAAGCAAACCATTAAGCAGAAAACAGTGGCACTGGAATAAACAAAGGCAAGATTTGCCAGTAGCAAAAATGTAACTCACTTTCAGAGATAACCAAGAAAAAGTTTATACTGGACCATACCTTTTCTCACCCAATTCAGTTTGAGACAGACCAATAGAGGCACTGTTAAAGAGACTATGGCTGTCTTCCTTGATATTCAGACATCCTAGTTTCCAGTAATTTATTATGGACCTGTTATCCATGAATCAATATAAACCTATTCAAATTTAGGGATTAGTTTCCACAAGTACAAAGCTGAATTTCCTTTTATTTGTCCTAAAATGCTTACTTTCATACTTGAAGGGACTTCAATTATTCCATGTAGTTTCAATAACATTCTTTTATCTTTTCAGACCAGAGTCAAAATATTCACACAGTATTCATACTGCAGCACCTTCCACCCACCCTTTGGTCGCTTGAACTGCCCTTCTTTGGTTCTTTTTCCGCTTTCTCAGATCTTTCTTGAAGTGTAGTAAGCAGAACTGTACTGGGTATTCCAGCTGCAGTTTGGTCTTAAATAAAAGAAGGATGTTTGTCAGTTTGGTTTTCTTTATTCTTCTCTGTGGTATACAGGATTTTGTTAGTTGAACTGGATGTAGCAGCTTACTGGGCCAAATTTTCAAGAGAACAGCACAATACTTTCCAGGTCTATTCCCTGGGTTGTAACTTAACAGCTCATACTCTATGTAGCACCTTTCCTTTCTCACTGAAGCATTATCTGTCATTTTTCTTCTTGCTTACTTGATTAAAAAAAACAAAACAAAAACAAAACTGTAAAAACAGAGGTGAAGTGTCAGCCCTCACTGGAGAGTTGATGTTCTATTCTAATATACTGAGCACAGTGCCAGACACACAGGTTCCCAAGAATTATGGAACTCAAGTATGTAACCCCAAATTAAAGCACTGTGTAAGGATCCTCACTGCTATTACAGGATCCTAGCTATCACAGGATCAAATGTAAAAAAGTCCTTTTGAAGCTGTCAGGTACGTCACTTTAGAAAGAACATAGTCAACTGTTAAAGTAAGTGACACAGGCTTAAAAGAAAAAAAAAAAGAAAGAAAGAAAAAGGTGGTATTTAATTCTAGAGAGACTGAGAACAATCTCCTGAATCTACTTCACTCCAATTGTAGTCCATGAAAAAAAAATTTACTAAAGGACCAGGCCTGGGCTCAACTCCTAGACCTGCATTTTACAGTCTTTTGTCACTCAATTTCGTTATCTGTGATATGGGGAAAATAAAAGTATCTTTCTCATAAGGTTTTTGAAGAGCAAATGGAGCCTTTAACACATAAAGCCTTTAGAATGGTGTCTGGCACATCCTAAATACTCAATAACTATCAGCTGTAATTGTTATCATTGTATAGTAGCTAGAAGTCAAACCACAAAATACTTAAACCAACTCCCCAAAATTGTTATCACTTATTAACTGCTCAGCACATTCAATGCAAAAGCATTTAAACCATGCCATAAACATAAGCCTAGCATGTCTTGTTTAGGACGGGGAATAGTAGAATTACTGGCCTATCCAATAATGAAAATATAATTAGCTGGCCCAAATTTCATTTTAATACATACCTTAATATTACCAACCACTGCTAAGTAATTTAACCCAAGGGGCTTTCATATCACACAAGGAATTTCTAAGTACCATGTAAAAGATGTACCTTACTGGCAAGCTCTTTCACTTCCAAGTAAGAGTTAGTTGTGCCTAGTGCAACACCAATTAAAACTATTCTTAAATCTACAAAGGTTTGTTTCTATTGTTATTTTAGAATCTCATTAAAAACTATAATAATTCCAGTTAATCATTATTTCCTTCATTTTGTTTTTATTATAGCACGTTTGCTTAATTTACAGCAAGCAGAAAATAAGCTGGGTCTTATTTTGATCCAAACATTGATGTTTTAAAGGTTGTACACAATATTAGTTAAAAAGAACATATAAAAATACCTTTTTAGAAGCTTCTATAAGAAAGAAAATACAAAGTTTAACCCCACAACTTTCCTCTTTGCTAGAACTGCAAACTACTGCTACAGTTTTAAATAGACTTTTTGTTGTTTAAACTATACATCCAGGAAAATCTAAAAAATTAAAAGAAACGTGCATATAAATGATTGCATAGCAGAACATGAACATTAACTGCAAAACAGTAAAGAAATGAAAGTTAGAAATACTATCAAATATACAAAGGTTCTAGAATCAATCCTTTAAACACATTCCACGAACAGTCTTTAGAAAGCATCTTTTGTTCTTTACAGGCAAGGCCTAGATTACTTAAACCAAAACTGGAGGAAAAAAAAGCACTCCTGTAAAAGGAGTTATCTTCCACAATATTTGTTACTGATAACCTGGCAAGCAAGCAATCCAAAAGTTTTAAAGTTGCTAGCTTTTATTCTGAAATGAGATTGGACGCATCGGGTAACTTTTATTGTCCCCAAAATGACCTCTCAGAGAAATACTAGAAATTGTATTTGGTTAAGGGAATTATTTTCCGTTTTAGTCAGGTACTACATTGATAATCAAAAACTCAAAGATGTGGCTTGTACTTAAAAGTCAGTTCTTTTACTGAAATTATTTTAAATTTCATGGCACCACAGAATCACCTAGAATGGGAGTGTTGCTTCTCAACTTGCCTCACATTCAATAAACTGAGGTGTGAAGAACAAGCCGCCTCCATGAAGAGGTAGACAAATTTTGATACGAATGCACACACACCGAGTGCTGTAAGTATCAAAATTCAGTTCTTTTACACTATGCACACATAAACTTACTCTGAAACAATTTACTTGCTTTTAACAGCAGCCAAGAAAACTAAGCTATTATGGTATAATGTTCCTAAAAGTTTAGAGTAACTACGTAAGAGCATCCTTTTCACCTCAAAATGACTTTTGTCATCAATGACCTGCTCAAATTTTAAGGTGAGTTTTTCTGATATATGTTCCAAATCGTTATAGAAACCAGAAAAAAAAAAAAGCAGTGAAGGCTCCATGTTTCAGTCAAAAACTCAAGATCTCCCTGGAAATGCTACTTAATCCAGTTGTGATCATTCCCTATGACAGTGGGGTTAACAAAAGAACTATTCCACACTGTGTCATAAATTAACTATTATCACGGGCCTAGACATCTTGACAAAAGGTCCACCCTGAACCTAAATGTATCTGGATCACTCAAGTGTACTGTGGCTACAACTTCACTTTTGTATCATTCTATCTTATTAGCAAGCTACACTTCTAGGTTAACAGGCCTATCAAATATGAATATGAAAGTCTATTTTTAATAAGACAATGTTGCAAATTATGGTCAACCAACATCTTTTCACCAATACTTCAAGCATAAAAAATGAGAATCTTTACAAAAATATACAGAGACACCACAAATTGGTAGCTGCCCATAACATTAAACAAACTGGACTCTTAAGAGTGGCTTCTCAACAGCATATCATTTTAATTATAACCATTGCCTGGTACAGGGAAAACTGACAAGTGTTTTGTAAAGCATCATTGCAACATTGTACTCCTGATAATTTAAGTAAACCAAACTACGAGTAAATGAATGATACATGCCTAAAAATATCATGGTTTATACTATCAGTGGCCACTGGACTTGGGACTAGTCCAAGACCTTGATCTAGATTTTGACCTAGACCTAGACTGTGATCTTGACTGAGATTTGGATCTAGGTGGTTCTTTTTTCCTTGATTCCTTTTCATATCTTGAGCCAGACTTATAATGTGTTTTGGAATCTGTTTTAGAGGTGCCTCTAGTTTTGGTGTGAGATGCAGACCTAGAACGTGATTTAGCCTTCATTTCTTTCTTGGGCTGGGACTTGGACCGTGATCTTGAATTGGATTTAGATCTTGAAAAAGATCGATTTCGGTGTTTGAATCTTTCAAAACAGAGGAGAGATACAATTAGAGTAAAAATTAGATTCTATATTAATCAAATTTATTATTTTTAGAGCAAAAGTTCACTCTGAAATTGAAAAATATATTAAGTCTCTTTCAAAGCAAAGTTATTTACCTATCATTGTCGGAATGGCTTCTGCTACGCCGTGGTCTTCCAGTCGGTCTACTGCTAAAAAGTACACCAGAAAAAGCAAACAATGACAAATGTCTGTTTACAGTCTTTTAAAGTTTCTAATTTAAAAAGTGAACCATAAAACTTTAAAAATAAACACTAAAATATTTTTAGTCTCAATGAAACATACAGTGTATATAACTAGAAGTATACAAAAAAGGCAAAAAAAAAGCTAACAAACATAAAGCTTTCTTGATAGATCACTGTACTGTAGCACACTTACTTTCTAGGACTATAAGATCTTCTATAGTTGTAATCAAAGGACCGACTTCTCGATCTCCTTCTTTCATAACTTCGGCTTCTAGAACGTCTGTATCTGTCATAATCATCATAGCGTGAAGAACTGTACACATTCCTTCCTTCCTTGGCTTTCATCTGATTTGGAGCTATGAAATACATAGAACAGAAATATTTATAAACATCAATAATGTAGTATGTAAGCTGTCAAATTATAGGTAAAATTCTTGTGCCCCTTTACCTGTCTTATATATCCCCAATCTGTGTCAGTTAACTGTGAATATTAATCTTGAAAACTGTTATTTTCAAAGAAGTCTATCAGAAGACTGTTTTATGTTAAAAAAAAAAAAGATACCCCCCAATTACTCCCCCTCCCCAAGACCTCTCATCATGTGACTTGCTATCCAAAAATATGCTATGACTTTGACATTAGGTAAATATAACAATGTATTGTTTTTAAATTTCCAATTAAAATATAAATGACTTTTGAACCAGATGCTATTTGGAGTTGTCCCACTGTCATTTCCATTCATTAATAACAGAATTAACCATGACAAAATACTGGTGACCTATGAACACTGTGTGTCAAAATGCAGTAAGACACAGTCATATAATTTTGAGATCACAACACAGGAAAACCTAAGACAACTAACTAACATCAAATGCCTCAGACACGCCCTCTTGGACAATTCTCAATTCTTAGGTTATCTCGTTCAATTCTAAAAAGCAGGTACTTTATGTGTGTATGTATATATAACACAGAAAATACCCAGGAATCCATCAACCAACCAAAGACCTAGAGACTACCAATAGTAGCATATGTCCACCAAAGTGCTCCTCCTCTCCAAGACAGGTATTTTAAACACTATCATTTAGTATCTTCTCTAAGATAACATAATGGTTGAGCCAAATTCAAACCCAGGTCTATTTGACTTCAAAGCCTGTACTCCTGCCTCATTAGCACAGTTAAAATCTGGTATATGCCTGCACACTAATATAACATCTAGTCTAGGTTTAATCTATACAGCCAGCCTTTCCCAGCCTAATTCATAGCCATGCACCCACACAATTGCCCAATTATAACTGGAGGAAGAAAAATGGCTCAAGAGACCTAAAATTTTATCCCTCTCAATTCCTCCCCCAGTATATTAAACATGCCACAGCTGACAGCGTCAATGCACGTAAAGAGTCCAAACATATTTCAGGCATCCTACTCTCACGCTACCTTTTGTCTAGCCCAAAATTTTGCAACACATCTAAAAATATGAAATAAAGCATTCAAGATACTTTATCTTCTCCAATGATGTATTACACACATTAGGCATAAAGGTACTTACTCTTCCGATCCCCCTGTGCAAACTGTATTTCAATTTGGCGACCACAAATCCATTTTCTGTCCAAATTATGTAAAGCATCTTCGGCGTCACGAACATCTTCAAATGTGCTAAATGTTAAGGGGCTTGGGAAGCGTTGCAAACTTTGATAATGAATGAAAGTTCAATCGGTACATCTTAAACAAATCACAGTAATATTAAGCTCTTGATATTATTCTAGAAAAACCTACCAGACTCCACTTACTAACTGGCTGATTCAGCTATAAACACTTCACACTTTTGAATTCCCAAGACATACATTTAAAAACACATGTGAATACAAACTGTAAAGATGTTACTGAAATAAGATGTTATAGCTGCACTACCAAGTAATCCTATCAAAAATGTTTTCCTCAGTTTTAAGAATTAACTTTACCAAACAAGACAAAAAGAAAAACAAGCGTTAGTCCTAAGTTGTATGTTAAAAATTTCTTAAAATAAAACCAAAACTGTTTTATATTTCAAATGAAAAAGAAAATGCCAATAGTTCTTGTGTGAGCAAGCAGAATATACAAGAGATGAAAGCATTAACCTCAAATTTTGCCATTTTTCTCAGACATATCTAACACTGTCATTTAATGTAGTTGTATTCCTTATTATGTGCAGGAAGACTGGTAAAGAAGCCACTTGTGGATATCAAGACAAAATCCAACAATCCTCAGGACATCACCGTAGCAAAAAGTACATTAGTCATGAATAGACTATAAGAGCATGCTCTCAAGAAGTAACAGACCATTTCTAAAAATTCCTGAACCAAAAAGCCTTAACAACAATGACACGTAACACAGTACCCAGCAAAGAAGTGAATGTGGGACTGCCTTTAATCTGAGAATTTCAAGACAATTATCTCTGAGCATACAGCAGGAACTCTTGGTCCCTCGTTTGAGTCTAGGTTCCCTTTTCTTCACTCATGTCAGCAACGATGCTATGTGGCTTTACAATGTTATTCTACCCAAATTTAGCACCTTTCCTAAAACCACCACCCTCATGGAAGCCAAGCACATACTTAGAGCAGTGCTTGACATAAAAGCTTTGCAAAGGGAGCTAGGTTAGGATGTTACTAACCTAGGGAGCCAGGTGTGGACTGTTACTATTTTAACTTGCCAATTTTCCTATTTCTTGAATTTCAAAGGTACCTTGAGAAGTGATTAAAAACCACCCCTATCCCTGCCTGGTGGGGTTAGGCTGTTTGGCCATTCTGCAGAGTGAAAGGCCGCCAGTTTGATTCTGTCAGAGCACATTCCTGGGTTGCGGGTTTGGTCCCCGGTAGGAGAGCATACAAGAGGCGACCAGTTGATGCTCTCTCTCACCTCAATGTTTCTCTTTCCCCTCGCTCTATAAATAAATAATCAATCAATCTTAACCGGTCCCCCCCCCCCAAGTGACATACTACCCCTTCCCTTCAAGACTGATACTAACATTTAATCCAGACTAAAAGGTTTTTACTTCACTAGATTTTTTGTTGTTGTTCTGAAAGGACCACAACTCTCTTTTCCTAAGAATATTATGTATAGGTTAATGCACTGAGAGGTTTTTCCCAAGTCCTAAATCATAGGCCTTTCAATATTGAAAGACAAAAGCTGACTGGGAGTTTAATACCCTAACAAATAAGCCCTCAAGATTAATGTAGTTAGGCTCTAAAGTAATTAAAAGGAGTACGTGGATGCACTAATTTACCTGTCACTTCAAGAGACAGAATGTAATAACCTTTTAAAGGATTTACACCAAGAGGTAAAGAATTAAGGGGAGCAAATCACCCTTTCCGGCTACCCTCAAAAACCTTGGTTGGACAAACAATGGTAATGTTCTATCTACTCTACCTGTTAAGAGAAGGCAAATGGCCACAGCAGGGGCAGCCAAATATCACTCTGATGCCACGTATAAAGAAACTTGAACTCACTTAAAAACAAAAACAAAAAAACTATTTTAAGACCGTAGAAATGCTGTATTTGTATGAAAAACACATAATTTTCCTTTAGATGACAACTTTCCTTGCTCAAGTATCACATATTCATGAGCCATACTACTGTTGATGCTGGTTCGCAGGCCACCCCCAAAGGAGGTCAACACTGTAAGCAAGAATGCATTGTTACTAAAAACAAAACAAAGCCCAAGCAAGATACAGCTCTTATCCTCCTTGTAGCACAGCTTTGCAACTACTTCCCACAACTGTCCGTGATCATTGGCCCTGTGGGAGTAGCAGCTTTCAGCATTTAAGTCTCACTGGGACTCCACAAGTTTCAAGAGACTTACTGAACTTAATTAAGCAGTAAGAAACTTCTCTAGCCTGAACTCCATAGCCCTAACTTGTGTTGTCACATGGAGATGATTTTAGTTAAGAAAGTAATGTCACCTGAAACTCTAGGCCAGGGAATGATTTCCAGCAGGTACCCATACTAAGGATAAGGCATTCTCCAATCCATTCATGGCTAACTGATCATATGTACTAAAGCAGCGTAGGGCCAGCAGGCTTCACAGACCTAAGTTCCAGAAGTTAGGAGTATATGTGTGTCCCGCAGAAGCCACTTTAAAACCTATTTATCAACAGGTAATTTCTCTAGCAGATCTGACCCTACAAGACAACCAGAGCTGTTTTTAAGTAGTCCCCAGTGCATGCATGTATTTCCCCTTTAGGCACAGCTCTGAAAAGTTGGCTTGACCACAGAATCTCATGCTACTCTGAACAGCACTGTCTGCTACCCTATGGCATCTGACCACCTGGGCCAAAACAGAAATACGCTAAATTTAGGCTTAACATTACATCCTAGTATGCTTTAACTTGAAAAGCTAACAGTACATTTATTCAAGACCGAAATCACAGCATCAAAGGCCCACATAAATCAAGTTACAGGTTTTGTCACTAGACCAAACCAGAATAATTTTGAGAATTAACTGCTTACAAAACATTAAAAAAAAAAAAAAAGGAAAATAGTTATTCTGTAGGATACATCAGGTATGACTCCTTTAATCTTGGCCATCATTCAACTTCATCTTGACCTTTAACTCTTTAAGTGCTTGTCAGAAGGACTTGTCATGAGATGCTTGGCCAAATATGACAGATGGCTTTATCTTTAACTTTGAATAACAACCTTTTCCCCCTTTTGTAGATAAAGCGAGGCTTTGTCTCCCATTAGGCTTGTCCTTCTTCCAGCTTTTCTTTATTTTTTCTTTTCCCAAACTCTCCCTTCTCTTCAAGCCTGATCCTTAAGAGGTCTTTGGCTTGTCTACTTGCCTTAAATGTTGAACTCTACTCTAAAGGTTCTTTCATGCTTTCTTTCTGGGGTCGCCATAACTGTACAGCTTTACATTCTCTGAGGTAACAACAGAGGACAGCAAATTAGGGGACAATATTGAAGAGTTTACCTCATCGTTATACAATTTGTTTTGATCATGTGATTTAATTAACAAACAAGAACACCAAACTTTAACTGCTAAGCACAAGAACATATTAACTTTTAATCTGATTAACATCGAAGGTGATAGAAACCAGAGTGTATTCAAATTTAAATCACATATTATAATCATTGACTTGAGTTTCAGCAGAATAAATGGGAATTTATAGCTTACTATTTTTGGATTAACTTTAAGAACTAGAGCAATGTGTAAGAATTTTCAAAAATTCGAAGACATGACATTCATTAAACGACAAAAATAACTACTTTTTAGATGTTACCTCTTACATAAACTTGAATTTCAAACTTCAACACCCCTCACTAATCAGCCATCTGAAGAAAGGATATTGAACATAAGCAAATCCTCTTGGCCGGCGAGTGTAGAAATCAAGTGGAACATACACATCAACTATAGGACCATAACGACCAAATTCACGTCGTAAATCTTCAGACCTAAAACATCATAAGAAGATCTCAAGTTTTTACATTCACTCCATTAAAAAGAGTTTCTTTGTAAGGAAATAGGTGTCTTTTTGTATTAGTTAACAAAAGGGAAGGTGCTGTATCCCTGGGTTACCTGAAACTGACAAGCTTTCTAAATCTGAATAGGAGCCAATTTTAAGAACATACAAAAAAAGATAAACATACTTTTTTTGATAAAGGAAGGCTAAGACCCAAAATCTTGGAAGATAAAAATAGAGTTTATAACATTTAAGGGTACTTGATCACTACTTTTGTTATCTCCAACCTTCACTTTCCACAAAAGGTGTATTAGCATAAGGTTGTATGCAGGGACTGACAGTTTTTCTTTTACAGTTTCAAGTCAACTCTAGAATTCTGGGGGGGGGGGGGGGAGCCAAGCACTTACTTTTACTTCCAAATTTTAACGACAGGTTAAACACTTGGTATGTAATGCCACAAATACATATAACTACTTAAAAATATCAAGTGACATAAAGTGGGAAATTTTCTAGACGCTAAAATAATTACTCCTTACTTTCTTACTTAAAATCAGGACAGGAAAAATGTAAATTACACCAGGCTATCAAAAATATTTGATTGGGGGGTAGGGTGATTTGTGAAATATAAAAGTCTCATTTTGTAATAACATCTCTTCCAAAAAATTCTGACAGCAACTCCAAGCCATTAAGGAAACTGTGAGAACAAAGGCAGATTCTGGATTAATCCGATTTGGTAATCTACGTCCTCTAGGCAGGGGCTTCTTCAACTCCCCTTCTCAAAAAATGGCCAGTATTTCCGGGAAATGGAAGAACTAGTTAATGCCGCTTAACTGAAAAAATCTGATGTTCCAAATCTCAGTATTCCCTTTCACCAAACATCTCCATTAAAAAAGCCAAGAACGTAACACCCCCACCACAACAAAAAGGTAGCAAGCGCTTCGCGTCCCCTCCCCCCATCCCGTTATTTCGTCGGAAAAAATTTTTTTTAAGAAATCCCTGGGCCGATGGAGCGTGCGCCCCAACAAATGTGAACTTCGTATCAATGAGGGAGTGGAGGTTTCCGAGGCGGAGGGGTGGGCGCGCGGAGGAAAAGCCAAGAGAAAAGAGCTCCGAGCTGCGAAGGGGGTGGGGGACAAAAACCCCGCCACGCGGTCCGCGCCGTCCGCGGCGGCCCGGGAAGACTAGCGTAGGGGCGCCGCCCTCGCTCGCACGCCGCGGTTGAGCCCGCGGTGAGGCCTTGTTCAAGCCCGAAAGCCGGCGCGGAACCCGCCATTTTCGCCCTTTCCCTCCTCCCTACCCACACGCCGCCGCCTCCTGGGTTGTCTGCGAACGCCTGCGGCCTCCCTGCGTAGACCCCAAGTACCTTCCCTGAACATACCTGGTATCATCGGCCACGTTCCTTACGAACAGAGACGTGTTGGGAGGACGCAGGTAGCGGGACATGACTGCTACGAGAGTCTCCACAGGGACACTAACGGGCTCACTAAACCCTCCGCGGCTCCAGCGGCGGATCCTCGGTCACACACAGCCAAAGGGCTCCGCTAAGGCAACCGCCTCTTCTCGCGAGACTTCTCTCCCGCCTCCACCGCCCCGCCCCCGACCTGGGCGCAGCGTCGGGACTGGCAGCTATTCTTTCCCGCGAGATCGTTTGGCGGGCGTCTGCGCATGCGGACGGCTGTGCTACGTGCCGCACCCCGATCTCTTTCATTGGCTTCTCGCTTAGCCTCTTCTTTACCTCCAAGCGCGCTCTTTCTTTCTTTAATACCTTATTTTCCCGCCCTGTTCTGTTTTACGCCGGTTCCCCGCCCCTCCTCTTGCCAAGTCAGGAGGCAGATGTTTTAACCTCCACGCCGCATTTTACAGTTATTACTAACTGGATGGAGTCTTAAACACTTTTAATTCGGAGAGACTGCCATAAGTTATGCCCTGGCTTTTATTAGATCGCTGACCAGAAAGAGAAGAATTTACAGCTTCTGTTGAGTGAAAGAGGAGTGTGTGTCTTTGTAGAGAGATGGGCCTGTTTCTTCAGGCTTTCTCCACGCATCCGGCGGTCTCCCTGAGGGCCTTTGCCCAAGCTGCCCCTCGCCCAGACCCTTCACAGCCATTTCCTCCCCTATCCACACCGTTTCCTCCTTATTTTAAGCATTCTCAACCTTTTGGTGGGACACAAGCCTTCATCTGAGTCTCAGTTGTCATCTACAGTGTTTTCTCTGCTGCTAATGTTTTCCTGTATTGCAGTGGTTCTCCACGTTTTTAATTTCAGAACCTGTTTATGAAGAGTTAACTCTTAGAAATGATGGAAAGACCATAAAGAGCTTTGCTTATGTAAGTTATTAACATTTACTGAACTAGAATTTAAACAATGAAAATGGGACAGAATACACAGCAGACGATGCAATACCATTCAACACTTATGTAGCTTCTGGAAAATTCTACTCTACTTTTGTAAGAGAAAAAGGCAAATAATGTAGTATAGTTTTGACCTTGGAAGGGCCCTTTTCCACTTTGAAAGGGCCCTGGGACCCCTCCCAGATCCCACTTAGGGAACCATTCCTGGCTCTATCAGACCCAACTTTCTGGAGATGAGGAACCACTTTCGAGAACGTCTCTGGCACGGAGCACATTCCCAAGCTGATAGCAGGGACACAGTCCTGTCCAATTAAATGAGCTTTTATTTTATTTTTTATTTTTTTAGGATTTTATTTATTTTTAGAGAAAGGGGAAGGGAGGGAGAAGGAGAGGGAGAGAAACATCAATGTGTGGTTGGTTGCCTCTTGCCCACCCTCTACCAGGGATCTGGCCCCCAACCCAGGCACGTGCCCTGACTGGGAATCTAACCCACAACCCTTTGGTCCTCAGGCGGACACTCAAGTCACTGAACCACACCATCCAGGGCCTAATTAAATGAGCTTTTATTTTATAAAAGCATTATTTTGGTATTAATCAGCATCCAAAGCAATTGATTTGACATGGGTGGTGATAGTGTTGTAGGCAACAGATGAGTCAATGCACGCTCTCGGAGATGAAGATAGGTTTCAAAGATTTCTAATTTTATTGATTACAAAATAATAGTCTAATTATAAATTTGGTGGCCAAGCTTTACCTGCGCAGGGGCGAACCCTCGGGGTGTCCAGAGACACGGTGCCCAAAAGGGCTGCAGATGAGAGTCGCGCCTGGCTCACAGACTACGGGGTTCTTATAGGGCAGAGCAAGCGAATGCGGGGGTTACAGAAGCAGATGTGGCAGTTAGCTATTAGCCAGGTTGCTAAGTTAAAAAAACGGCGAAAGTCTCTAATTGGTGGTTGGGAGCTGGGGTCTTATCTGGCGGGCCTTGGTCAGTTACCTTATTTGGCTAGGAATTTTAACCCAGCCGTTCCCTGACATTTATTTATTACCCAGTCTCAGGAACTGCAGATGCCTAACGGCTGTTTGTATGTTTCTACTACTAATGGCTATTACATTAGTCTGCTGTGCTTCATAGCAGAGCTATTGTTTTTCTTTAAAAATTTTTTTGTTTTTTAGTTTTTTAGAGAAAGAGAGAAATGGGGGGAGAGACAGAAAAATAATGTGTTGTTCCACTTGCTTATGCATTCATTGGTTGATTCTTGTATTTGCATTCATTGGTTGATTCTTGTATGTGCCCTGACTAGGGATCGGAACTACAACCTTGGCATTAGGGTGATGCTCCAACCAACTGAGCTAACCCAGCCAGAGCCCAGAGTTACTATTTTTCTACATTTATGTTTTCCAAGAAGTTTGGATGACACAATTTATTAAAACAGTTATTGATTATCTACTATGTTTCAGACATTGTGCTAGATGCTGGAAATTCAGTGATGAAAAACATGGAGCTTACGTTTCCTTGAAAAATAAGTAAGTAAACAACCAAAATAATTCCGGATTTGTAATATGAGACAGTAATATCATAGGTTTGAGTTTAAAAAAGACTTCTAAAAAACCCCAGAGGTTTGGGTAGTATTAACCCCAGAAGGAATATATTTGCCAAGAAGGGCTCTTAGTGGTTATTTGGGCTCAAATTCGTAGAGTGTAGCAGCCATAGAGTCTCACACACATTACCTATCACCAAACAGTCACAGAAGATAGCTGTTAAGCCTTATGCATTGGATTCCTGCTCTCTGGGCAGACCCTTATAAAGTAGTTCCTGGAATCTCTTTTTGACCAATGGGATGAGACCTGCCCCATCCAATCACACCTCTGCAACTATTTTCTCATTTGCATTTTTACTGACTAATCCATAACCACCAGTTTCCTCATCTATAAAATGTAAACAATAATAGTAACCTTGCTCACAAGTTTGATGTGAGGATTAAGTGGGTTAATATGTGTGACTAAAATAAGTAAAACCATTAGGAAATGACCTCTAAAGCTGTAATATTCTGATACTTCTTGAATCATTTCTCTTATTCTTTGGTGAGAATAGTGCTTGGTGTTTTACTGCTCAATAAGTATTAGCTACCGTCATTAAGATTATTATTACTTCAGGTTTTTGTTACAACTGAACCCAATTTATAATTGATACAGCAGCTATTAAAATTATACTTATGGGGGAAGAAAAAAATAAAATTATACTTATTAAAACTGTTGGTGGTCAGGAAAGGTATTCTTTTAAAAAATATGTTTTATTGATTATGCCATTACAGTTGTCCCAATTTTTCTCTTTGCCCCCCTCGACCTGATACCCCCATTCCCTTCAGCAATTTCCCCCCTTAGTTCATGTCAATGGGTCATGCATATAAGTTATTTGGCTACTACATTTCCTACACTGTTTTTAACTCCCCCTGTCTATTTTGTACCTACCATTTTTCGCTTCTTAATCCCTGCACCTTTTCCCTCAATCTCCTCTCTGCCCTCTCAACTGATAACCCTGCAAATGCTCTCCATATCTATGATTCTGTATGTGTTCTGCTTGTTTGCTTCGTTTGTTTTTTAAATTCAGTTGTTGATAGTTGTGAATTTATTGCCATTTAATGTTCATAGTTTTGATCTTCTTTTCTTGTATAGTTCCCTTTAACATTTCATATAATAATAGCTTGGTGATGATGAACTCCTTCAGTTTTACCTTGTCTAGGAAGCACTTTATCTGCCCTTCAGTTCTAAATGATACTTTTGCTGGCTAGAGTAATCTAGGTTGTAGGCCCTTGCTTTTCATTGCTTGAATTCTTCTCATCAGTCTCTTCTTACCTGCAAAGCTTCTTTTGAGAAATCAGCTGACAGTTTTATGGCAATTCCTTTGTAGGTAACTACCTGCTTTTCTTTTGCTGCTTTTAAGATTCTCTTTTTATCTTTAACCTTTGGTATTTTAATTATGATGTGTCTTGGTGTGGTCTTCTTTGGGTCCATCCTAAAAGAGTCCCTTGTTTGGGACTCTCTGTGCTTCCTGAACTTACTTGTATGTCTATTTATTTCAGCAAATTAGGGAAGTTTTCTTTCATTTATTTTTTTCAAATAAGTTTTTAATTTCTTGCTCTTCTTCTTTTCCTTCTGGCCCCCCTATGATTCAGATGTTGGCACGTTTGGAGATGTCCTAGAGACTCCTTAGCCTATCCTCATTAAAAAAAAAAATCTTTTTTTCTTGCTGTTCTAATTGAACATTTTTTCCTTTGCGTTCCAAATCTTTGATTTGATTTTCACCTTCATCCCCTTCTCTGTTGGTTCCCTGTAGACTTTTCTTTATTTCACTTAATGTAACCATCATTTCTACCTGGTTTATGTTTATGCTGTTGAAGTACTCCATGAGTTCCTTGAGCATCCTAATAGCCAGTGTTTTGAATTGTGCATCTGATAGGTTGCTTATCTCCATTTTGTTTAGTTCTTTTTCTGGAGTTTTGTTCTGTTCTTTCATTTGGGCCATATTTCTGTGTCTCATTTTGGCAGCCCTGTTTGTTTCTGTGAATTAGGTAGAGCTGCTTTGACTCTATCTTAGTAGTGTGGCCTATTGTAGAAAAGTGCACGTGTAAGTTGTATGGGGCAGAGGCTCAGGTAATCACCAGGGTGGGGCAACCTGTGTCACCACCCTGAGACTCTGTGTGGGGGAGGAATTGAAGAAGGGACAATGTCACTGCCTGGCCTGTGGGATACTACCCAGGAGGAAGCTGCCTCCCTGTACTCACCCCAATGCCAGCCACCTTGTCTCTCCCTGTATGCCACTGGTGCCCTTCCAGCTATTTCTCCAGAGCTGAATCCCAGAGGGGTGTGTCTACACAAGTCCCAAGTCTGTTTCGGGCTCTTTCAGAGGCATCTCCCAAGAAACCTGTAGTTTCTTCTGCTGCCCCAACCTTCACTGGTTTTTACAGCCAGAAGTTATGGGGACTTATCTTCCTGGCTCTGGAACCCTGGGTGGGCTGGTTGGCCTGGGGCTGGGATCCCTTGCTCCTGAAGTATCCCTCATATTTTTTATGCAGCATGCATGGATGTAGGACAGCCTCTTCTGCATCTCCTCGCCTCTCTGCTCCTCTGCACACCTTTCCACATCCCTCTGTGTATCTCTGCATCTCCTGCCTGTCTGGATGAAGGTAGCTTCTTTAAATCTTTGGTTGTTGGACTTCCA